CGTCTAGTTTGGGGTCGGCCCCGGGATTCTACACTTCCTTTGTCTCCGCTCATTCACCCTAACACCCTAAATCCCCAATATCCTAAACTGCAAAGCCTACACCCTAAACTGCTTGAAGCTCAGGTGAACCCGGTGCAGGCACAGATCCAGATCCAGCAGCTGCAGCAGGTGCGAGCCAACAGCGGCCCATCACACGACCCAACTACCTAGTTGTTGCCCACAGAGCCCAAGAGCTTATAACTTGTTTATGACGGGCTTAATATTATGGCTTAAGGAAACGTTCCTTCATGAACCTTACGGAGTATAGCTTTAAGGCCAGAAGGCTTAACATACTCATCTAAGGTACCATTCCTAAATTTAGCGGGCATTCTCCAGACTCCAGATCCTTGGCTTGGGAGCCGCTCAGAAACCCCAAAATCCCTGCAAGAATCACACGTGATAAGCATCGAAACCCGAGAACCCGAGACTCAGAGCCCTAGAGCCAGAAAGTAGATGCAGGCTTTTGGCCCTAAAGCTATCCAACTCTTAGAAGTCTAGTACATATGCAATGACAGGACAACTTAAAGGTATCCCTGCAAACAAAGACCCTAACTCCGAAGCAGCCCCTCAGATACGGTTGATGATATAGAAATCCTGCAGTAGGAATGTATCATTATTCCCATAGTTTAGGGTCCTTAAGGTAATGCAGGATTCATATCATTAACCGTAGTGACAGGACACGCTGAAGCTGCAGCAGCAGTGGGTCGAGTACCGGCCTGAGACAGCAAAGAACTTACCTTTTGGTCAGTGGGGAATGGAAGAACGGTAGTAATAGTAATTATTAAGTGTACCCCGTTCCTCCATTCCCTACTAACCAAAGGTAAGAGATTTTTTAGGATTTTGTGGTGATCTCAGGGCTTTAATTAAAAGGTGGGTCCTTACAAGGCTTTTTGTAGGTTTTCTAGAAGGGCTTTTTGCAAGGTTCTTTTGGGGTTAGGGTTCTTAGGCATTAGAGGTTTTTTGGTTCAAAGGCCTTAGGGTTTAGGGTTTGGTGTTCTTAGGCATTAGAGTTTCTTTTAAGGCTTATAGGATCCTTAAGGGGGGGTGGTTCAAGGGGGGAGGGTACTAGGGAGCTTTGGGGAACCTTGGGGAAGCTTAGGGAGTATTGGGGAATGATGGGGATTACTAGGTTACCTACCCCCCTTGGACCACCCCCCCTTAAGGACATCCTAAAAGGCCTTAGGGCTTAGGGTCAGAGGTTTGAGGTTTCGGGATTTGGACCTTGGCGTTCCACGCCGCGTGCGGCAGCCCCGAACTCCTCAAGTCCCCCAAAAAAATACTATTACTACGCCAGAGCTACTATGAGTATGATTACTGTGAGTATTACTACGATGAGTATTAATACTATGATGATTCCTGTGAGTATTACTGTGATTATAATTACTATGAGTATTATTTGAATGATTATTACTGTGGCTATTATTAGTATGAGTATTATTGTGATTATGATTACTATGAGTATTATTGTTGCCCAAGGTACAGCCAGCATAAAGCCGAACTTGGCCTCGAGGCGATCTTGGGTTCGGGGTTCGGGGCTTCGGCGTGAGCCTGGGGCTCTCCTGGGCTATGGGTTTAGAGCTTCTTAGATCCCCAATGCCTAACCTTCAATCTTCTTGGGCTCTTATGGTTTAGTAGGAGTCAGAAAGTTTAACCTTTTGTTTCTGTGGCTTATTGCGGGAGTAAGGTTTAGGGTGCTGCTGAGAGTTCGCGGGCTTAGCTTGGAGGAACGAAGACTCTCGGTTATTTATTACGACTAACATAAGCTCTCAAACAAAGGATCAAACCCAGAGTGTCAGGTGACGGCTTGAGGTTTCGGGCAGCCGTGAGCTTGGGCAACAGGTTTGCCAGGGGGGTCGCGGGAAGTACTGCGTAGCAAGGACATGGGTGGCGCCTAACACATGGCTACCGTGATGAAAGATAGTCCTGCCCGTATCTACTTTCTCAGTCACGGGATCCGGCAAGGAGCCTGTCTATCCACAGAGCCCAGAGCCTGGTTTTGGTAATACTACTGTTAATCCATAACCAGAACAAGGACAGCATTAGGAACAATCAATCACCACCCTAGAACAAGTATCTGTTTTCAGCAGTTTTATTAAGAAGGAGCAGCGGAGTACAACATAACCGCAACGGCGAGACGAAGACTGACTCCCTTTCGGGTGTCACGGGCTTGCATATCATATCCTTTAAAGGTCAGTTTTTTGTCTCAAGCGAAATGAAGCTTCTGCAAGTTTCAATCCAGAGCCTTTTGAAGGAACCCCTTAAAGGGTTCTGTAATGAGGCTCTTTTAAAGGAGCCTGAACCCAACAAACCCGAATCTTCAGCGAGAAGCCACGACCAGGCCACGAGTGCGCCCGCAGAGCCATCGGCTGCGATGGGGGCGTGCCTCGGCGCATAAGAAGCCCCAAACCCTAAAGCCGTAAAGCTTAGCCTCCACTTCAAAAAGACTAAGAACCCTGAGCTTTAAACCCTGCAAAACTAAACAACAGAATTCTAAAACTGTAAACTCCAAACTTCATCACCCCTGTCAGCTAACGCAGTAGTGCCTGACCCTAAAGCCCTAGTTGCACATGTACGAATATGTTTATATATATATATATATATCGTTGCTGAAACCGTTGGGGCGAACCGGCTTCTAGAACACAAAAGTCCTTCGCGGAACGCAAATGTCAAACGAATCTGCAAAACCTAAGCAAGCGATCCTTAACCCGAATTTCTGAAGATCCATCCAGACCTAGAATTCCCAGAACTGACGGTCGTTCGGGCTTGGGGGTTTTCGGGCTTCGGGCCTAGAGGTTTTTGGAGTTCGGTGTTGTATGGTTTACGGCTCTAGGGCTGAAACCATAGAGTGGGTGTAGATCTGCTTACAGTGCAAATGTTGTGCACCCTGCAAAACACGATTCGCATCTCGGAGCTTGCTTGTCGATGTGAGTAGTCGGAGTTGAGATGTCCTCTGAGTAGGGCCCATCATCTCCAGCATCAGCGTGAGATCCTCCAAATTTCGCCAGCTCTGTGCATCATCATATTATGATATACTCCGAAACCCTCGTCTAGCTACTTACACCCTGAACTCCTGAACCTTCCACCCCAAATCCACAAGGCCCCGCTTGAAACCTGACGCCAAAGCCCGAGACCTCGAGCATCCCTGAACTCCACTAACCAGAGAACCTGTAGTCTCCTTGGTACTTATTTTTTGTTTTTGTTCATATAATTATAAAACCCAAGAGAATATTTAAAAGAATACTATTTTCATTACGGTTCTAAGAGGGGGGTATAGAAACCCATATAAAGCCCAAGAGAATATTAAAGGATACTATGTTCATTATGGTTCTAATGGGGGGTATAGAAACCCTAAACCCTTGAAACCCAAACCTTACGTCCTTCAGGCCAACGACTGAGTCGCAGGTCGATGCTGCCTGGTTAGATGCAGAGGGTTCTCCTCAAACTACGGTTTACCATAGGGTTACTATAAGGGATCCATAAGGGTACTATATTATGGGAGCTTTAATAAACTCAATCCCTAAACCCTACCTGAAGCCGAAAAGACCTACCTTTTTAGAGTTCCTTATTATGTTTTTTGTACATATAGTTCCTTAACAAGGTAGGTCTTTTCGGCTGGCACGTTGGGATAGATGGACATCCCTTAGTCTGCGACCCAGTATTCAGGAAGGTGGGCTTGCTTTCTCAGGTTTGAGGTTCTCGACGGTGTCGGACTTGGGTTTTCTTCATGAAGCTCCAATTGCACGGAGGACCTTGAAGGTGAACCGTCTGCCTGGATGCTTTTGTGGAGGACTTGCACAATGGGCTGTGAGTGATAAAGGAAATGATAGAGGAGACTTAACCCTATCATTGAATATCCTCTACTAAATCACCAGTCCCGGAAGTCTCATCTCAACACCGTTTCTGCTGGGGGGTCCCCACAAAAAGCTTCACCAACACGGGAAACCCACCCGCCAAAGTCTGAGATTTGCTCAGGCGCCAAGCTCACAGCTCTCCGTCTGATATCCGACATCGTACCCACTAAAGTCCTCAAACTCCCAGACCGTTTGATGTACGTCTGACTCTTTGAAAGCTCTTAAATCCCCATCCCTGCGCTGAGATGGAGAAGCATCTCACTCAGCTTCTGCAGCGCGAGCTGGGTCACGCCTGAGAGCGTCATGGCCGTGTCGGGTTTTCTGATGTCCACCTTAGATGCTGAAGCTTAGGCCTAGGGTTCATGGACATCAAGTAAGATCATGGCTCCCCTGCGTCGAGGAGCTGTTTGGATTAGGGGATTAGGGTTTCAGCATAGAGTTCACGCTTCGAGTGCTCAGGATGTGGGATTCAGCATTGGATTTAGGGCCTGTGCTGTAGGTTCATTGAAGATGGGCTCAGCGCAGAACGCGGAAAGAAAGGAGCCGACTCCAAGCCCAAACACCAAGCTTTTAAGCCCTAACCCGTAAACCTTATGAATCTTCCTTCTGAACCTTTTAAATCCAAACCAGAGCCCCAGTAAAATGCGAAAGCAAGTCTCCGAATTCCAGGGCGACTTCCTGCATGTTCATGATTAAGCAGAAGGGTCGAAGCAGCGTTGAGGTCTGTTCAGACCCCATAACCCCAGGGTCTGGGGTGTAGGGCTATGTATATACATATATGCATACATATCTCTATGTATGTATATAGTTACCCTGAACCCGTTCAAAGAAAAAACTGCGTTCTCTCACAGAGAGAAGGCTTCAGTGTGTGTGTGTGTGTGCTGTAAGAGTTTCTTCTTGCTCGTTGCGTGTTCTTTCACTACAGAAACAAGACCCCGATGGGAATGACGTGCTGGAGATGCCCGAATTTTGCGAACAAGCGTTGAGTTAGAGGCTTCAAGACTACGGTACATACACCACGAGCTTGTCGCAGGGCCTTGCTGCAAGGTGTTGGCGTTCGTTTGCAGCCTGTGTGTTCAAGCTGACCCGAGTAGGAAGCCATCGCCCGCCATGTACTTGTGGCTCTTGCTGCCCGTGACCATCTCTGTCTTAAATGTCAGGTCGGAGAGCCTGGATGACTGCGATGGCGACTGCAGCTTGCAGCTGTTGCAGAGAAAGGCTGACAGCTCCACCACTGCAGACTACACGCTGCGGATGAAGGGCAAGGAGCGAGCCTGCAAGCTTCCAATTTCCGGAGTTGGCACCTGGGGGTTTGCATTATGTCATCAAATTCAGTTGCCCTGCTTCTACTGTAGCCCTTAATTTCAAACCCCTTAAACCCTAAACCCCTAGACCCAAAGCCCTAAACCCCTCAACCCCAAAACTGAACACCCGATCGATAATACCCTTAAGCATTTTGGAGCCTCAGGGTTATTGGCCCTGGGCCAAGATTTGGTCAAGAGTTTCCCGCTCTGGCCGTAAAGGTAGTCCCTCCCTTGTAGACGGGTTTAGGGTTTAGGGGACGTTGTATGATACATAACTCCAGTATATTACAACACGCCCCAACTGAACACCTTTCAGTATATGGGTTTCTGGAAGGACCCCATCATGCTCTACGACTCCTCGGCACCCGAATTCGGGAAGAAGCCCAAGCTACAAGCCTACTGTGCCATCGGCTCCTGCGACAACGACGGCCTGTGCAAATGCTTATTGGGCCAAGGATTTTATCTAGGCCCCATGAGCAACTCGCCCCCGATTCTGGCCTAGAGGAAAGGGCGATCTCACCGTTTGCTTTTTTTGCTGAGCCCCTAAACCCTAAACCCTAAACCCAAATAATGAGCCCCTAAACCCTAAACCCAAGTAATAAGCCCCTAAACCCTAAACCCACGTAATACTTGTCGCCCAAAAGCACCGGCAAAGCGGGTGTGGGGTTTGGGGTCTTCAAGCTGGGCTTTCGACTCCTTGGCCGGCGGCCTGGAAGACCAGAGTGTTTTGTGCAATGTCCATAAGGGTTTATGAGGTCTTCATAAGTTTCTTTTTGAGGTTTCCATAAAAGGTTTTATGAGATTTGTTGAGGGTTGGTTCTAGAGGGGTTCAACATTCACTTCAGGGTTGCGGGCTGCTTAGTGTAGGGTAGGGCCCCAGTCGGGAAGAAATGCGAGTAGGCAACAGGAAAAGTCGGAAAAGTGACAAGCAATGTTGGTGATAGTACTGTTATTCCTGACAGGGAATATGCTGCATAGCCGACCGAGGCGAGCTACAAAATTGGCTGGATATCACAAGCGGCAGGGACACCTTGAGCACTTTTGCGGTTCAGCGAAGCGGACAGGATGCAGCCAAGAACCACCAAACCTGTCAGGGAAAGTATGCCTTTTGCTATGGCGTGCCTTGCACGTGCCAGCCGGTTTGCGCTTTGGAAAGATTTTGTTTCCGTACATGTGGACGTTTCCGAAATTAGGGGTACCTTATTTGGGGTCCTTATAAAAGGATCCTACTATTTAGGGTACTATATTAGGGTCCCCTATATTCGGAAACTCCCATGTAGTTGTTGGGCAGTTTCCTGGCAAGCACATGCCGTTCGCCTTCCAACCTCTAAAGCCGCAATCCCAGTGTCCCTTCCATCAAGACTCCTGGACCCTCAAGGTTCACGAACAACTGTAGCCGGAAAGCCTTGGCCATTGAACCTTAAGCCGTTCTCGTTCTCCAGAAAGCCAAGACCTTATGCCCGGCATGCGAGATTCGACGACGAAATCGAGCATATAGATGATTCGAGTGTTGTGCCCCTCAGCCCTTAACAAAGCTTGAAGGTCCGAAAGACGATTGTTTCGATATGGCAAACGAGGACAAGGACCGGCCTTCCTTGCCTTCGGAGGTCGCATGTTGGTCGTCGTCGTTGCAGTACGGTAGGAGTAGGAGTACAGTAGGAGGAGCCGTAATCCCTGTACGACGGAAGACTTCCGCATGCAGCATGATGCCGGAAACATGCACCAGGAACCTTTTATTCCATGAAGATATTGGAAACGGTCCGAAGCATATCTACACATGCCACGGAATTGAGACAACCCAACCTGTCCTTACTCCTCTGGATTGTCAGTGCACCTCCAGTCCGTGGTTTACTGGGATTGGGTTCAGGGTTGAATCAGGTCCCGTCACCAGTGCCCGGTGGCACCCTTTTCTTGGAAGGACGGAGATTGCAAATGCATCCAGATGGAGGGGAATTTCAGCACCATCAATCCACTTGGCTGCAGCTGGGCATTGCACTAGGGGACGATGGTGCCGCCGATACTAGCAATCTCAAAAAACGAAACGCTGCAGCATACCTCAAAGTAGACCATAGTAGACCCTAAACCCTAAAACCCTAAACAGAAGGATCTTGAATGTCAGGACCCCACAAGAAACGTCGCTTCCTTGGGGTGCAGCTCCAAAGCTAACCCGACCGAGTCGACCCTATGTCCAGGGCTGAAGTCATAGAATTTAGGATGCTGGCGGTTTAGGGTTTAGGGGTTTAGGGTTTAGGGGTTTAGGGGTTTAGGGTTTAGGGGTTTAGGGGTTTAGGGTTTAGGGTTCATTTTTTAAAGGTTTCAGGATGTTCGGGTTCAGGGTTTTAGGGTTCAGGGCTTGGTGTGAGGATTCAAGGGTTTTTGTCCGGGGGGGGTTAGGTGCTTGCCATGATGAGTCTCTATCCGCACCGTCATGTACTGCACATTCCTGAGTTAAAGTAAAAGCCAGAAAGTTGGAATATGATTCTCCTAAACCTTTTATGGTAAATTATAAGGTATCCTGCCCTGAAACCATATTCCAACTTTCTGGAGTTCCCTTTAAGGGATTCTGGAGTATGCTACCTGCACTCAGCATCCCAGAGCCGCCCCCTTCTTGCAGTGATGAAGCCGTAAAGGACGGGATTTTTCTGCAGGGCAGTGATAGGCAGATTTGCTTTGTGCGCCTTGCATTCGACTCAAAGTTCGGAGGGATTGAGGGTTTAGGTTTTAGGGGGGCTGTGGAATCGGCAACAGTTCATGGCTTGAGCTTTTGAGGCCTTGGGGGTGAGGGTTTAGGGTCTCATGATTTCACTGGCAATTGCTAGAATCATCAGCTCCGAATCGCAGAGCAATTCCGCAATCTACAAACCTTGGCAGAGCCTAAAGTCTTCAATCCTGGAGCCTAGAGGCAACAAAAATCCAAGCCCTCAACAGTCTGCAGCTTTCAAGTCCTGAGAGAAGTTGTTCCAAAAGGAGCCAGACACAGAAGGCAAACCCCCCTTGGGGCTACATGTTCAGGCCTCTATATCTTAAACTTAAAATCCCTAAACCATATACCCTACCCTAAACCCTATCGATCCCTTATAGAACCGTTATGGGCCCCTTTAAAGGAACCCGAAACTCAAATCGAGCTGAGCGCCGAAAGTGAAGAGTTCAGGTTGAAGTGCTTGGAGGTTTTGGGCTTGGTGCTTACCAAAAGGGCCTAAATGTCTACCAATATAACTAAGGGCTACTATAAGGGATCTATAAGGGCACTAGAATCTAGGGGCCTAAATAACTACCAATATAGACCTTTTTTCGGCGGGTCCTTATGATATAGTTATAGTACAACGGGCACCACAACCCTATTCCAATTAGTAAGGCCCCCGAAGTTAGAAACCCTAAACCCAGACCCTTCGGCGCCGTAGATTCTTTGTCCTAAGACCTGGCCTTGAAACCAGAACCCTCAGCCGCCACTTGCAAAAGCCCTATAACCATAAAGTAAAAGCCAGAAAGTTGGAATATGACTATCCTAAGCCCTTTATGGTACGTTATAAGGTATCCTACCCTGAAACCATATTCCAACTTTCTGGAGTTCCCTTTATGGGTAGTTGTCAAAATTAGGGTCCCTTCAGCGGCAACCTGGCTTTGGTTGGGGTGGTTTTTTCTTGTGGGGCTTTGTTTCCCTCGTCTCGCGTTCTCTCCATCTGCTTACACTGTTTGTTGCTGGCCGTTCTTGACTTAGGATTCTCCGGTGGCATCGCTTGCCGTTCCCGAGGTGTCTTGGCTTTGATGATCTCTCCCTATCTGTCTCTTTCTCTCTTTTCTCTGTATCTCCTCTTCTCTTGCCGCGGTTTGCTTCTTTGTGGTGACTCAGGACCCTGCGAATGTGGAGTCGTCGGATTCTGACTTCGGGCTCGTCCCCTGGGAGTCGGCCCCCTACGTTTTGGCAGAGCTCTACTCACCTGTTTTCATCTGTCCTCTTCTTTACTCTCGCCTCCTATTGCGTTAGGCACTTCGACCACGAAGTCGCGGCTGGCGTTCCTTGGCTTAGGCTGTTGTGGTTTGCGGGCGTGTTTTCGGGGGTTCGGGTTTCGCTGGTACGCACATCGAGGCTGTTTGGGACGAAGGAGAGGAATCGGAGGTGGAAGCCTATGACTGGGACGTCGCGGTTCCTTGGTTTTACTTGTCGTGGGCTGTGGTTGTGCTTTCGGGGTTTCGGGTTTTCGTTTTATGCATAATCTGTGGTGGTGGGCATTGCATCTGGAGGAGTTTCCGGAGTTCCCGGATCTCTTCAGCGACTTCCCAGAAAACAACGTGGGCGGCTTAGTGTTCCAGTTGGGCTCGTGGACGGCAGTCACTTCGTCCTGTCGGGATTTGGGGTTAGGGCTTAGGGTTTTCGGGTTTACGGTTTGGGGGGGTCGGTGTTTTACTGTCTGGGTTTAGGGTTTCCGGGTTCCAGGGCTGGGGTGTTGAGTGTCTGGGTTTCAGGCTTAGTGTTTAAGGTCTCGGGCTTGGGTTTTGTTTTCGGTCGCAAGGCGACCCGCTACGACGCGGAGATTGCTGCAACTTGGTCGCATTGCTTGTGTTGCTTTTTCTTGCTTCTTCTTGGGTTTGCTTGGTGTGTTGCTTTCGAGGCCTCCTTGGACTGTTTTCCGGCGGAACCGGCTGTGCCTGTGGTAGCTTGGCTGGTTTCTTGTTCCTTCTTGTTTTGCGTTGTACTTCTTGTTCCGCGTGCCTTGTGGCTATAAGGAGTTGGCTTCCAGCAGCACGGACGCCCCGGCTCCTTGGTTTGGGTTTGTTGTGGTTCATAGTTATGTTTTGGGGGGCTTCGCTTGTTTGCGTGTGTGAATCGAGGTCCACTTGGCCGTCGTAGCTTGGCTGGTTTTGTGTTCTCCCTTGTTTTGCGTTGTACTTCTTAGTCCGCATGCCTTGTGGCTGTAAGGAGGCCGCCTCTGGTAGTGGTGACACTCCCGCTCCTTGGACCGGGTTTGTTTTTTAGTTATGCTTTGGGGTGACCTCGCCTGTTTGCATGCGTGAACCGAGGTCATGATTCCTGTTGCTGACGGAGACGAAAGCCCTACCAAGCGGCAGCGGCATTGCCGCCCTATCGGTCCTAGGTGAGGGTCTGGTTTGTTTGTTTCTTGGATTTCCCGCCTTCCCCCTCCCTTGGAACAGGAACCGATACAATGTGGAACGTCTGCCTTGTGGCGACTGCCCACGCTGTATCACGAATCGGCTCAAGCCGGTAGGCGGTCTATGAAGGTTTTGGGTATTCTGGCTGCTCGAAATGCTCAAGCGTTCCTAGAAGGGTTCTCTAAGGGTTCTGTAAAGGCATGTAGGGTTTAGGACTTTCAGGGTTTGGGGCTTCAGTGTTTTGTGTCCAGGGCTTCCGGGTTGAGTTTGGGATTCAGAGTTTCTCCTTTTCTGCTTTCGGGCCTAGGGGTCTGAATGATATAGCGATTCAGGGACGCGGTTGGTAATGCACTTGCCTTCAGAGTTCCTTTGGGGGGATTATTGACGTCACCAAAGGCGGAACCCGGAGTTTCAAAGAAGAGGAGATCGGCAAGGTGAACCCCGAAAAGATCAGGATTCTGAGTATGAGCCAGTCATCATCAGGAAAGCCATTTTTCAAGAAATCCCACACAAGGCTTAGAGGATGGGCTTAGTGAGGACTAGCTGTGAACCTCACCTTCAAACCTCAAACCTAGGAGACTAGCAGGCAAGATGTAGGATTACTCTGTTCAGCCCTCTGCAGCCTTATTGTAATATACGGCACCTAATATTTAGGGTACACAAAAAGGGACCATAATTTTGACAACCACCCATATGGGATTTTCCGAAAATTACGGGGTGCTTTGCTTCGAAGCCCCTATAATAAGGATCCTACTACTTAGGGTACTATATGAGGGTCCCCTATGTTCGGAAACTCTCATATTCCCTCAAACCCCGAAACCCTTAAACCTAAACCCTTGAATCCTTAAACCCCGAAGCCCTAAACCCTTGAATCCTTAAACTCTGAAGCCTGGAATCCCTAAACCCTAAGCCCTCAGCGGACTTCCCCCTGAGGCAAGGCTGAGGGCGCGCTGGTCCCAGGGGTGCCTATTGGCTTCCGTCCCTAGCGGTGATCTTTTCTGCAAAATACAAGTAGTAGCTGAGTGGATACACTTTACACTTTCCTGTAGCCGAACAGACCTTCCCTTTAGAGTTCCTTTTTATGGCTTTCATATAAAGTTCCTTAAAAAGGTAGGTCTTTTCGGCTACAGGTTAAGGGATAATATTACCCACTATAAAACTGAAAGTGTATACTTGTCGGAACTTGTGAACTCAGCAACTGAGACAAGATCCCTTCCGACATTTTCGACACTTAAAGCTCAGGCTTTATAGAGTCTATGCCTTCAGGTACAGGATTATGTAATGGTATTATTGCTGGGTCTCTCCATAGATGTGTTTATTGTGACGACTTAGGCCGAGGATGTCTTGATCGGGTCCCTACGCCGTCATGGGGGAGCGGGGTCTAGGTGTTATAGAGTCCATTATAAAGGCTAGAAGTCGTGTTGAACTACTTGATATAAGTCCCTGCATTGTAGCTGAGCATTGTTGAGGGGAAAGGCTCTGAAAGATCAGGCGAGAGCTTAGGAGTTTGCTATTGGGGCTTGGTTCTCTCAAGGGTTTTCTTGGAACTGCGACCATGTTGTTCAGACCGGTCATCTCTCCTGAACGCAAGGGTTGACGCAGTGCTGAGGGTTAAAAAAACAGTTGCGGGGACATGGAAGGCATGTGTCGTTGCTTTCCATCCTCTTTTCAGCACAAATCGTTCCAACATGGGGACATCCAGGTACGCTACCGTGACTTGTGGGGCCACAATCAAGAATCGGCACAGTTCGTGAAAGGGTTCTTAAGTTTGGTTGTTAACACTACCTTTTGGTCTTGATGCAGAAAAGAGGTAGAAGCCGTTTTGCACTGTCTCTCTTTCAATATTTTGAGTGTGGTAGTGAATGACGGT